GAGTTTGCAACCCCAGCCCAAACCCTTCACACATGCTAAATGACTCCTTTGACCCTCTCCAAAACCCTGCTAGGGTCACATAAACTCCCAAATTTCAGAGGCGCCACCAGCCAAATTCACCCCGCACTTGCGCTTTGCGCCTCCTCACGCAAAAATGGCTATTGCAAATCCAAAACTTTTCTGCCACAAGACACTCCTCAATGTGCTCTACAAAGTGGCTATCAAACATCTCTGACCCTAATTCCAGACACCCTTGTAACCCTAACCCTAACCCTAACCCTAACCCTAACCGGTCACGCAGCAAATCTTAGTCAAGTTGTGGCAGACGCTCAAGTGGGCATCTGATCAAGGTCCGCGGATGTCCGGATGCGGTCTAGTTTACAGCGTAGAATCCTCGACTTATGCCGACAGGGGTGACTAGAGCGGATTTTAGTAGTGAGCGCGTGCGCGCGCGCGCGCCCTCCTCGCAGCGAAAACCCCCCTGCTCCTCGCTTTGTGCACACCTCACAACTCTCTCACCCCGATGCACTATGATCCTCCCATCTTCATACTCTGCTGCCTGCTTCTTCCTCAGCTGCATTTTTACATTTGTACTCACACTGACTGTACATTTGTGCACCGTCCTGTTCCCTTCTCGTCAATTGATTGCTATGGTCAGCCAACTTTGGGTCAGCGCGTTGCGTCTCTTTCGCGCGCGTTACATTCTATGAGCCAACACCTATCTGCTCGTAGGTCGCCGTGCACAAAGAGCACACCGCATAAACTTCACCACTGACGAGTTCCTTTCAGCGATTCTCACAATGATCTGACCGCATCTCTTGACAGCCCGGATCGTGTGTCGCCACGCCAACGCTCCGTAGTCGTCTTGTGTATCGTGAACATCAGCGCATCGATTGCGAAAAAGGAGACGGTGTAATACATGTGGCTGATCGCTAGACAATGTGGGCGCGAGCGTGAACAGGCTCATGCCGCTGCTGTGCCGGCAGCGGCTCTCGAAAGCGCTTTCCTGGACGGCGCCAACGTCGCCCCTGTGGCATCCCCGCGGTTCTCCTTTTCTTGACGCGCAGACTGCCTGGTGGCGTGCCGTTCGACGATCGAGACGCCGTCTCTGAACCTCGCTCTGAAGAGGACATTGGCGTTGGCAAACAGACCCTCCGTGTGGGATGAAAGAGAATGCGTGTCAGTTTCGTGTCGCGGCGATGCGCCCGCAGTCGCAATACTCATTTGAGAGAGACAACGATGAACTGGGAGCCCGAAAAACGTCTGCCAAAGAGTTGTCCCAGATGCTGCGTGTGCGAAAGGTCGAGGGCAGCGTCGACTTCGTCCAGGATGTACATTGGCGCGGGCTTGAATTGCAACAACGACATGATGAGCGAGAGTGCAATGAGGGATCTGCGGACGGCCATGGGCCGTGGGTATTCAGCACGCAAGGTCTAACATCCAGCTTCAACGCCTCTCTTACCTCTGTCCACCGCTCAGCTCGGTCAAGCTCTGCTTCCAGACTTGACCCAGCCTAACCTTGACTTCGAGTCCTTGCGTAATGTCCATGCCTTCAGGCGGTTGCAGCTTTGCGTAATTGCCCGGCAAGAGCTCGTTGAAAATTTCGCCAAAGTCGCCATTGACCTTTTCCCACGTGGTCTGCAGCGCGTCGCGCTTGTATCGATCCAGCTCCGCAATCGTCTCTTCGATCTTGGATTGATCTTTTTGCACCGTCGACATCATCGTCTTGAGCTCCGTCTCCTTTTTCTCGACGCTGTGGTTGCAGCAAACGTCAATCGCGTCGGCTCTGGTGTACGCAAACACCGCCACCAGCACATAACTCACGAGTCGATCATGTTCAGAACCTTTGGGTTGACGCGCTTCTTCATGCCGCTTTGCTGCTCTTCGAGTTTCTTGCAAGTCCGCTTGACCTCGTTCATATTGTGCTTGCCAAAGTCGTACGCTGTGCCGGCTTTGCCAAAGTGACTGCGCGCGGGGTGCGTGCGAGATACATGTGCTCAGCGCGGTGGACCTCATCAGGTGCTCGGCCTTCCAAACTCACTCTGCTTCATCAAGGATCCACTCGAATTGCACCTCCAGCTGCTTGATCGTCTTTTCCAGTCCAGCACACTCCCCAGTGAGCTTTTCGATCTCGTGCTTGAGTCGCTTATCGTCCAGCTCCGAATCGGCAATTTGCTGACGCTTGACCTTGGCAGCTTCCCGCAGACTGTCGAGCTCTTCGTCATAGCCGGTCAGCATGCTCTTCTCTGCTGCCACCTTGGCCTCCAACGAGTCTGCCTCGGTCTGCGCGACAGAAACACGTCAGCGCGATGCGGCGGCAATATCGACGGGACAGTGACGCACCTGCAAGTCCCTTAACGCAGCCTGCATGCCAGACAGTTCCGACTTGCTTCTCTGAAGCTGCGCGCTCGCCTCGTCGAGAGACTTTTCGGCATTTTGCACCTCCAAGGCGGCCTGCTCCAACTCCAATTCGAGAGTCCGCACTTCGCTTTGGCGGACCTTGACATCGGTGCCATTCTTTTGCACGCTCGCTCTCCGCTTCTTGATATCTGCTTTGAGTTGATCCAACTTGCTATCCTTGTTCCTTTCAAACTCGCCCATCTCCTTTTCCAGCCGCTTTGCTTCAGCGCTCGCCGTCTGTTGCTTCGTCTTGGCCGCTTCTATGCTCTGGCGCAACCCGGCAATCCCCTTTTTGAGAGCATCCACTTCCGTAATGATTCGCGTGGCGTTGCTATTCTGCATCCTGCCCTCGAGAAGTTGCACGGCGTGCTGCTGAAGGTCTAGCTCCCGCTTCAATCTCGAATACGACGCCAATTGATCTTGTGCTGCCTTCTTCTCCCCGTCAATACGCGCGAGCTCACGTTTGACATCCTTCAGCTCCCGATCGACAGCATTCAGCTCCTGCATCTTGACGAGCAAGCCGCCCGACTGAGGTTTGCTTCCGCCGGACAATGTGCCCGCCGGATCGTACACGTCGCCATCGAGCGTGACGCTCTTCATCTTGACCGCGTCATCGAAGGTGACCCTTTTGGCGGTATCCGCATCCTCGCAGATAAGAGTATTGCCAAACACGTAGGCCATCGCTGCCGAGACTTGCTCCTCGTAGCCGATGAGATGCAGGGCCAATTCGACTTTTCCGGGAGACAGCTTTTGAGCGGCGCCGATGCGTTGAGAAGCGGCAATTGTATTGCTGATCTTGTTTAGCGGAATCAGCGTGACGCGCTTCTTGAGCTGACCCTTGGCCAGCAATTGCGAGCCCACCTTTTCGTCTTCGACGACAACATTGTACAGCCTGCCGCCAGCGCAAACTTCCAGCGCGGTAGAGTATTTATGCTTGTTCTCGTCCAGATCAACAAGACTCGCAACAAGCCCCTTGACCCTGTTCCGATCAAAATTGGGCTCCGGATCGGCATAGCTGAAATCTGTGCCCGCCAAGCGCGACTTGAGTCGATCCCTCTGCTCGTACAGCGCAGACAGGCGCGAAGTGAGCGTTGACTTGCTGTTTGCCCGAGATTGCTCTTTTTCTTCATCCCAGCCGAGAGCAGCGAGCTTGTCGGAGAGCTTCGCAGCGGTAGATCTCGCCGTCTCAAGCTCCTCGATCAGGCTTGCGCCTTCCTTTTCGGCCTTTTTCGCCAGCGGCTCCTTGCTTTTGCACTCCTTTTCCAAGTGTCCGATGCGCAGCTTGGCTTGTTCGATCTCGGTGCCCAGCGCAGCTTCTTGCTCTCTAGCATCGGCGAGCTGGCCCATATAGCCCCCCTGCTTGGCGCCATCGCTGGCCTTGGACCCCATACCGGTCAGCAAGGTCTGCAGCAGCTCGTCTTGCCTCTCCAATGCGGCGACCTCCTCGTCAAAGGTAGCCTTGAGGGTGGCAAAGCTACCAGACACGCTTTCCAGTGCGCCCGCCTTTTCCGCGTGCGATTTGCGCAGCGCGTCCAAGCTGTCCCGATTCTGGGCCACACTCTTCGCCTCTTCATCCACGCTCGCGACCTTGAAATCGAGCTGGGTCCTGTCCTTGACGAGTTGATGCGCCATAGCCTTGGACCTTTCCACCAATGCTTGCATCTTGCCTCCCTTGGTGAGTTCGTTTTCGCGCCTCATTTCGATGCCCTCCAACTCTTTTTCTATGCCGGCGATGTGCTTGCGCAGGGCGTCGACATTTGCCTGTTGCACCTCGACTTGCCGCCTGCGCTCAGACAGTGCAGACGTCTTTTCCTCGCACCTCGCTCTGAGGGACTGCCATTCGTGCGCTTTGGCTAGACGCGTCAATCTCTCCAGCTCGGATGTCGCACGCTGATATTCCAAAAATGAGCGCTTCTCCTCACGCAGCTTGTCCAGCTTGGGCGTAATCTCTTCCGTGAGGATCTAAATAGAGCGACAGTGTCAGCATATATGCGCTGGGCGACGTGACCACGCGTACTCACCGACGTAATCTCCTTCACCTTTTGCTCCTTCTTTGTGATGGTTTTGATGGCCTTTTCCTTGCGGTCCTCAAACATGCGCGTGCCAGCAGCCTCCTCCATCATGCTGAGAATCTCTTGGGGCTTCATGTTGAGTACTTTGGTGATCTTGCCCTGCATGATGAGAAAGTTCGGATTGTTGATGTTGAGCTGAACGCTCTGAAACATGTTCTGCACGGCCTGCTGCGTTGCCTTTTGACCGTTGATCATGTACTTGGACAGTCCACCCATGGCAATCTGCCGAGTGACGACAATCTCGTTGGCATTCTCAAACGCTACAGGCGACTGCGAGCGATTGGTATTGTCGAAATTGATGCTAACGGATGCTCGAGTAACACCCGCTTGACCGCGCTTGTAGATGAGATCCTGCAGGTTGGTGGCGCGCACGGCAGACAGATTGGTGATGCCAAGTACAAAGCAAATGGCGTCGAGGATGTTACTCTTGCCGCTTCCATTGAGACCTGTAATGGCGTTAAAGGAAGGGTCAAAGTCTTTGATGTTGGTGCGCACCGGGTAGCTGTAGGGCGGGCGCGAGGGGTGATCAGCCAAGCGATGAGAGTGTATGCGCTTCGTGTCTCTCGCTCTCTCTCTCTCTCTCTCTCTCTCTCTCTCTCTCTCTCTCTCTCTCTCTCTCTCTGCCCTCACCTCTTGAAGCCATCGATGGTGACCTCCTTGATGCGCATACTGGGCGATCAAGCGAGGCGGATGTGTCCGTATCAGCGTTAGGGTGTGCACCTCTCGCACGGAGGTGAGTGCGGTGATGTCGCGTCTGGATGGTCCTCCGGTTGCGGACGATGGCAAGGTGAGCGCGATATCGACGACGATGGAGCAATTTGGTTTTTGGTGTGGCCGTGAGCGTGCGTGAGCGTGTGTGTGTGTGTGTGGGGG